TCTTCACTACCGTCATCATCACCGTCGTCCACGAGAGGGTGCCGGACAAGTCGGTGAGCCCGCCGCTGCCCGACAAGTTCTTCGACTACGTGGACCGAGTGCCGTGGGCCTTCACCGTCACCGAGGTCAACGGGCTGATCCTGGTCGGACTCTGGCTCGTCCAGTGGCTCCTCCTCAAACACAAGTACGACCGGAGACACGTTAACGATATTAAACAAATCACTTACATATATTTTAAAACATGTTAAAATAAAATAAACAGTTATATTAGTCGACTCATCGTCTCAGGTTTAATCGTTGGGTAACCATGGTAACCAGGTTACACAATAAATAAATCCAGCTTGTAACAGTTTGACTTGTTGTTTCTAATATTTATTTAGGTAGAAGTGATAAAATCCACGTTGTCACAAGCTGAGCACATTAAAAGTATTGAACATTTTACTATTTTAATACTGATTATTTCTGCAACTATATTGTGTATAAATTAAAGCTCTGAAATTAACAGTAAAAACCAATTTAATCACATTTTATGGATTAAACTTCTTTCTCTTCAGAGCTATAATTGGTCGTCGCTGTTTCTTCCTGATCGGGACTCTCTACATGTATCGCTGCGTCACCATGTACATCACCACCCTGCCTGTGCCGGGGAAACACATGGTCTGCGCTCCGAAGGTACAAATACACACTATAATACTCACATTATACCTGTTCATACACACACACACCTCGTCACTAAATGTGTTCTCGTTTTGGTCGTTTCTGTGCAGCTCTACAACGATTCAACGGGGAAAATATGGAGGATTTTGAGGCTGATCTCAGGAGGAGGTAACTCACAAATTCTTAATTATCTTAACTATTTTTAACACTTTTGAACAGAAAACAGAAAATCCTGCTCTCTGATGGTCTGACACTGAGGCAGCAGTTGACAGTAAAGACGTCTTGTTGCCCCGAGGACAATAAACATAGCACAAACATACAAAGACACAGTGTTTGGGACAGTAGATATAAATATATATTATTGAATATATATAATTTTAATTGTTAATGTTCTAAATCGAAACATATGAGGTCAACCATAGAGAGCCAGTGTTGCCAACTTTCTTGCTAGATTTGTTTTTTTAAACGTTATTTTTTGACAAAAACCAGCAAACATTATACAGGATCATCGTAGGTTTAGAAAAGGAAATGACAAAAGAAAAAAGTATATTGAGAGTTGTTCCTGGTTTTCTATTTTTAAGCTCTGTTCGTTTGTTTGTTTGTTTGTTTGTTTGTTTGTGTTTAGGTTTGTCTCTGACCGGCTCTCACCTGATGTGCGGCGACTTCCTGTACAGCGGCCACACCGTCATGTTGACGTTGTCTTACCTCTTCATCAAAGAGTGTGAGTTGGCTATTTATGGGAAACATTCATATAGATGATACCTGGGTACCCCCGAACCCCCTGAACCCCCTGAACCCTGGGGGGGGGCAGGTTTAAAGGGCCGTGTTGACTGGAAGGAACAAATATTAGGTATATTTTATTTATATTCTGATTTCTGACCCTAATCTGTGTGTGTGTTGTGTTCAGACTCTCCTCGCTGGATGTGGTGGTATCACTGGCTCTGCTGGCTGCTCAGCGCCTCGGGAGTCCTCTGCATCCTCATCGGTCACGAGCACTACAGCATCGACGTGGTGATCGGGTACATCGCCACCACCAGGACCTTCTGGTGGTACCACACCATGGCCAACTCACACGTAAGAGCTCACACGTTGCTTGTTAATCTGAGGTTAAAGAGTGCAGACAGATATTACTGAGGATTTAAAATAATAAATCAGAAGCTGGAACCAGTGAATTCTTTTTTAATTACTTTACTTTATTGATTGATAGTTTTATTTTGTGTATTTCTGCTCAGGCGCTGCGTCAAGCTCCCAACAACTACCTGTCGAGGACGTGGTGGAACCCGATCTTTAACTTCCTGGAGAGGAACGTTCAGACGACTGTTCCCATCGTGTTCTCGTCGCCGCTGCCGCTGCCGTCCTGCTGCAGGCAGCGCTACCGGATGGTGGAGGGCGGCAGGGACGAGTGAGAGCTGCATCCATCACCACGCCGGTGACAAAGGACGGGGAACTTTAACATCAGTTTATTTATTAGAAGCAACATTTCCAGCGTACTGAGGAAGAGGAGACACTGAAGGGAGGAAGAGGATGTTTACATTATCACTGGGTATTAGTTCATCAGCAGGTTTAATCACCAGAACAGTAACAATCATTATCTGCTCTCTGTTAACGGAGCCTCTGTGGAGCCACCAGTGTTATTGATCACATACTGGGCTGTCTTTGACCCTCCCTAAGCCCCGCCCCCTTTTTGCTCTGTGCTCCAATCACAAACCTCGGTCAACTTCCTCCTTTCCTGTGATTGGATATGCTATGTGCTAGGCTAATCTAGTTTAAAATACCAGCTAAATATCTTTTTAATCTGCATTAATGGTTAGCTAGCTGGATTCATCTGAGGTTTAATGTTAGTCAAACACTCGCTAACTAGCTAGCTAACCATTATTGTAGATAAGAGTTTAGTTAAAATTAGCAAACATAAGCAAATACACGCATTAGCTAGCAACTTACATCAGATAGCTCATGTTAGCAATAAGCTAACTAAGCACAGGAAGGTTCCAGAAGGGGGGGGATAAAGAGTTTATCTGCTGGTAAACAACAGAAAATGTAAAAGGAACTTTAGTTTTTATAAACTAAACACGGCGACTTGAGTCTGGTTTACTGTTTTTGTGAACTGTTGAACCAGAAACAACAAAAAACCTGAAACATGCTAACGTGATGTGTATGTTCGGACGTTATCTCGTTGTCTTCTGGTTTCTGATGTGAGCTGGTTATCGAACAGTTTTTTGATACAACTGCCGACAAAATCAGTGAATTTCAGCACCAAAATAAATCGTTTTTCTGCTCAGTTTCTGTCGTTGTTGGTATCCAACAATTAATAAACCTACAGGTTTGGATTTATGTCTTCCGAACTACGTTAGCGTTGCTGAAGTGCCAAACAAGAAACGCTTTTTGTAAGATTTTGACTTTTCTTAATCAAAAGGTCGGGTGAATCTATGTGATACTGAAATTATCTAGCTCATTAACCTAAACAATTTAGATAAGATAACAAATAGAAATGTATAAATGTACTTCCTCCCAACAAAGACGATTAAATATTTAAACATTGAGATTATTAATTCTGCCTGTGAGGAACTAGTAGTAGCTGCTAGCGACGTGATGTTCCAAGTGCTCCAGTTGGGTCCTCATCAGTGTGAGAGTATTGTTGTATATGTCTCGATATACTTGATTATTGTTGTTTAAGTTATATAAGTATTGAGACACTGAGCTCACAACGGTCTGTTTGTGTTTTTTTACTGTTTATTTTATGCCGCCTTTATTATAAAATGAATGAAACAATAACTGCTGATTTAAAGTCAGATTAATGAAGATCACTGTTCAAGTTACTTTTATTAAAGTGTTACATTTAGTTCATATTTGGTTAAAACTGACGTGAACAAAATGTCACAATCAAATATTTGCTTTGATAATAAAAGATTTATTTTCAGTCAAGAGCTGGTGTTTGTGTTTGATGTGTAACGAAAACAAGTGTTGTAAGTTTGAATTAATGAGTTATTATTATATTATTAACGTATAGTGTTTGTTTTTTTACTTTTAAAAGTATATAATTATATATATTTCTACTATATCTAACTTTTAGTGCTTTTTTGTCGTAGCTTATTCTGATGAAACCAAACAAGAGTCATAGGTTCATGTTTGGGTATCTTATTGTTTGTCTGTAACTGGTTGCTGAACTTTTGAAGACGTGGCCCAATGCACCTAACAGGACATAACTTTGAATTGCTGCCACAATGTATGTGTGTGTAACATTTCATACAACAATACTAAGTTACAGAGGACAGGAAAGATACAGGGCAGAGGTCAGTGCTGTTTATTTTAATTGAATAATAGTAACAATACTGTTATATAGGTCAGTGCTGTAGATACAGGTCAGAGGTCTGTACTGTATTTGATTCAAACAATAGTAACAATAATGATATTAGTATTAAACTTTATTTAATACGTTTTAGTCCAATTATTTAACACTAATTGTCTTTCAGAGACAGTTAATAAAGATTTAATTTAATTTCAATTAAATTCAATTTTATTTGTATAGCGCCAATTCATAACAGAAGTTATCTCAGGACACTTTTCAAATAGAGCAGGTCTAAACCGAACTCTTTACAACATTAATTACAGAGACCCAACAGTACCACCATGAGCAAGACCTTGGAGACAAGGGCAAGGAAACACTGCCTGTTAAGAGGCAGAAACCTAGGACAGATCCTCCGGCTCTAGGTGGGGGGTCGTCTGTCTCGACTGTCAATTTTTACAGAAGAAAGATACAGGTCAGTGCTGTAAAGAGGTCTGACCAATTGTGTGATGGCTGCAAGTCAATCGGTCTTTCAATGCTGAACTGGATTTGTGACCTCACTGTATTTGACTGGATGAGGAGGACGAGTGTATACGACAGTTGTCTCTTCAGGAGTCTCATCCGATCAGGTTGCTGGAAAAACAAACAACAGATAATTTTATTCTCAGCTCAGAGGAGTTTACACTCTATAGTAACAGTAGTTGTAATAAGTCCTGAGCTTTTATTTTGTTGTCTTTTAAGCCGACCTGGTGCAGCTTCCTGTGGCCTGCTGGCTCTGCTTCCTCTTCCTTTTACCCTGGAAGGAAAAGAAGTAAAGCCTGAGTCCTCCTGAAGCACACAGACGCAGTACACACTGTAGATGTACTCAGGTGTGCAGTACATACGTAGTTGTCCCTGGCGGACCATCCAGGGTAGAGCTGCATGTGAAGCAGTCTCTCCTTCTGGGCCAGGTCGTAGTATTTGGACTGTTCAGAGTGCGACAGGGCGTGCCACTGACAGACACAGAGATTACCTCATTTATTTAATCTGTTCAATAACCAAAGTCTAACAACAAGCAGGCGGTTTTACGGAGGTTTAGCTGCTGGACTATAATTTTGGCCGGGGGCAGTGACTCGCTGGAAGTGGTTGAGAGGAAGATATTTACTGTTTATTTAATAGATTAAATTGTTAAATTCAAGTTTAATTCTGTTAATACTTTTCTAAAATTATGTGAAATTAGTGACAACAGTAAGTAAAAGTATTTGTTGTGTAGTTTTACATGGATTAGTTAGTTAACTGACAGATATGTTGTATAATGATGGAAGTTGAATAAATGTTGTTTATCAGTGTAAACAGCAATAATTACTGTAATCTCACAGATAATGACTTTTATTACAGTTCTATAAGTATATTGTAGTATACTACTACAGTCAGTTGTTTATAAGATATGAAAGCTGTCTCACCCTTCGTCCCAGGATGCGGTTGATGGCGGCGCTCTCTCTCTCTCGTCCCTCCTGAAGCACTTTGTGTCTCATCTCCTTCATGTAGAGCATGAAGGCGTTCAGAGGCTTCTTCACAGGCGGTCTGCTGCTGACGGCGAGAGAGGAGGTCAGCCTGGTGACTGCGGTTGTACATGTAGACATCCACACTTATGTGTCACAGACTCACCTGGTGACGCTGTTGTCATAGTAACAGGGGTGTGTCCTGGAGCTGGCGTCTACCTGTGGACCAGGTGCAGTGATTGGCTGGCTGTACGGGGAGGACTGAGGGAAGTGTCGGTCGCTGTAGAGGAGGAGAGGGACGAGAGGATGGAGGGACGACTGCAGAGAGACACAGAGTTTATTTATTTTACACATGAATCAGAGTATTGATCAGTGTATTGATCAGAGTATTGATCAGTGAGTGTGAGCAGTGAGTCCAAAGTCAGAGCTAACATTACTGCAGATAGTATCTCGACATTATATATGTTATGTTGTCACTCTGATATTTAGCATTTTAAGCTCTGTAAATTTGTAGACGGCCTATACAACGTTTATATTTATATATATTATATTATTTTAGTGTTCATCCCTAACTTTCTGTTTTTACTTATGAGGAACAAACAGCTGCAGTAACAGTAGAAATACATAAAGAGTTCTGACTGTAACAGAAAGAGACTACAGCTTGTAGCTTTCATCTGTTTTTCCTCTCAGCACACACACACACACACACACACACACACACACACACACACACACACACACACACACACACACACTCACTCACACACACTCACACACTCACACACTCACACCACACACCCTGCAGGTTGTGCACTCACAGACTTGCTGGGTCACATTTAACACTGATTGTGTTAGAAGGGGAACATATTGGCTTGAAGGGATAGTTTGACCCACACACACACACACACACACACACACACTCACAGCAGCTGCAGATTGACTGTGTGACGTGTTGTGTCGCCCCCTGCTGGTCAGATGCAGATACTGCGGTTGAGGTGGACACCAGTCAAACACCTGAGGTTTACCTGAAACACAACAAATAGTTAACGTGTGTGCGTGTGTGTGCGTGTGGGTGTGAGAGTGTGTGTGTGTGTGAGTGTGAGAGTGTGTGTGTGTGTGTGTGTGTGTGTGGGTGTGAGAGTGTGTGTGTGTGTGAGTGTGAGTGTGTGTGTGTGTGTGTGTCTCTCACCACCTGCCGGGTCCTGATCCAGTTCGCTCGTCAGCGAGATCACCTAAAACAAGATCAATAAACTGTTGCAGGAGATCAATTAGAAATAAATATTACATAATCAGTTTGTATTCATTTATAATCATGTATTAATATAAATATATAAATAATATTTATTTCAATAGTTGAATAAATAAAATACACTTTTAAAGAAGGAAAGAAAACAAACAAATACAGAAAAATAATTTTAAAAACAAGAATAATCATCCATTATATAAATCATTGATTTATTCATAATAATATTAATAAAGTTTAATTACATTTAAAGGCTGAACAACAGTTTAAATATGTAAAATGTAGATAAATTCAAATTTGTGTATAAAAACAGTCACAAAGATTTTTGACAAAGTGAATAAAACCACATAAATAATAACAAATAACAAATAAATAATAATCATTTTTACACAAAAAGAGATTTTCTGGATAAAATAATAATAATAATAATAAACACTCACCCCTCTGCTGGGCATCTGATCCATTTGTTGACTTCAGTCAATAAAAACTAGATTTTATTATTATTATTATTATAAAGAGAAGACGGAGCCGACTGTCAGCTCATCAGACTCTACAGACTGGTACGAGTAAGTCATGTGACCCTGCCCCCCCACCCCCCCTCCCCCCACACACACACACACACCACCCACCACACCCCCCCCACACACACACACCCACTCACACGCACACACACACACCACACACACACACACACACACACACACACACACACACACACACACACACACACACACACACACACACACACACACACACACACACACACACACACACACACACACACACACACACACACACACACACACACACACTCACACACACACACACACACACACACGTAGAAGCGTTGGCTGTGTTGTGTATGTTTGTATTATTATTATTTATGTTGTTAGAAACAATAAGGTAAAACTTGAATTAAAGGACCAGTGTGAAGGATTTAGTGCCATCTAGTGTTAAAGTTGCAGATTGCAACCAACTGAACACTGCTCGCGTCTGTATTTGATGAGCTGGGACTGAGAACTGCCTGTTAAACACAAACAGTGGTAATGATTGTGAATCAGAACAATCAGTAAACAGACTGAACCTTGAGTTCATTTATTCCAACACAGTTTAACATCATAACTGTTCATCTGACCTCCGCCCTGTATCCAACCATCACAGCTCTGCTCTAATCATGGATGAATGTGTGCTTTACGTTCACGAACTACGTAGCAGGATGATATTAAAACTAAACATTACAGGAAGTAAACAGTGAAACTCACTCTAAAGCTCTTAAAGCCAAGAGGAGCTTTAGATTCATCCTTTGTCCTTGATGGACTCTGGTAGATCTTCCAATTAGTTCCAGTTGAACATAATTTTATCTTCCAACTGAAACTGAAACTAACAGAATTTATTCATTTATTAACAGTTTGATTTAATAAATGAGATATTTGACATATAAAATACGAAGAATGAGCCAAAAGTCTTCTCTTCGCTGTGATTCAGACTTTATGTGACAGCTGTGCCGACACATCCACAGGGTTTCTCCCCTCTGACACACACAACCCGAGGGTGGAGGCAGAGCAGCAGAGGTCAAAGGTCAGAGAGCGAACTGTACCACGGCTGTAGGGGAGCTTTTTCTACTGTTAACGATATTGTGATATTGTTCAATATAAAGAATAAAAGTGTCTTTATTAAAGTGAATTAGTGATGAATCACCATCATTTATAAACCATACATCAACAGTTCTTCTTCACTTTACACTCTGAGTTTATTCTCACTGGAACCAGTTCCCTTCAGATATTTATTTATTATTTTAAAATCAGACATTTTAGGCAACAATCCCATAAAAAGCTGTCAGGATATTGTCAGTATTTCAGGTTTCATCGACACACGAAGGTCAACACTGATCCATTTATTCAGGACTGAAGCTAATACAAAGACAGCGTGCAGTATCAGTAGTTCAAATAATTGGTCTTGATTTTAAAGCCATGACAATAACTTAAAGAAAACATATTTAAACACACAACTGTTGTTCAGTTCAGTTTCTGACAGACAGAAAACATTGAATCCATATTCCTGTGTAGTTATTGTTGTTTACCTCTGGGGGGCAGTAAAGAGCTACAACAACCTCCAGTCAGGTGTTGTTTTTATTTTATTTTCTGAGGTCACTTTGTTCAACAGGTTGTTTTATTCTTAATCATTGGTATTGTAGTTCTGGTTCTGTAGTCCTCGCTGAAGCTCACACAGACTGAGCAGCAACGTTGAGCACAAACACACCCCCTCCTCTCTTTTTCTGAGGCTCTCTGTCACACCACACACACACACACACACACACACACACACACACACACACACACACTGGGGGGAAAAGGGGCGGCCACGGCGGGGAACAGGCAGGTGAAGGGGCAAGAGAGACCGGAGACACGAAGGCACTGGAGAGCCGACTCTGGGAGCTGAACTGCACGAGAGGATCCCTGGAGCTCGGGAGAGAAGGTGGTCAGACAGGGGAACAGGCACAAGAATATCAAAGTTGACTTGAAATAGCAAGCTACACACTGGAAGGGGCCACGAAAGTACCACCAAGTAGGCTGAAACAATCTGGCAATGACTGGGAGGAAGACCGGGGTTCTTGAAGGCTGAGGCATGATGAATGATTGAGAGCAGGTGAGACAGCAGACAGCAGGTGAGGAGAATAGAGGCCGCACCCTCATCAACACACAGGGAAGGAGGAGGAGCAAAGGGAGCAGGAGGGGAGCAGAGCCATGACACACATCTGCAGTGCGCCACCTGTGTGCGTCTCACTGTTAGTATGATACTATGGTTGACACAGTGGTCACATTTATAACTATTTGCAGCCCTTGG